TTTGATTATACTGATTGGACTTGATTAGCAATGCAGTACTTTTTGGCGAGAGTAATTAGTACAGTAATCAAATTACACCATTGAAGTTGTAATTAGCAATTTTTTTTTTAAGTAACTTAACCAACACTTTTCTCAGTAAATTTCATTTGTATGGCATTTAATGTATGGTTAATTAATAATATAGATAATACTTGCCAGATACGAAAACATATACTACTAATTTACTTAAAATATGTGAGTAAATAAATATTTTATATATATAATATAAAATATTTTCAAAGTTGTAAATACAACAAAGATTATATACAAGAAAATACGATTTCAGTCTTTGTACTTTAAAATGTAACATTTAATTCAATGTTACTTATCTGTTTTCTTTCTTTGTAATTGTGAAAATAGTTAAAATTGTTACAGTGTAGCTTAACCAAACTATATTTCCCATCATTCTGGCACCAAAGAATAATAAAATGTTGAAAATATCTGGAAACTTTAAAACAGTTCAAAAGAACAGCATTTGTTTGAAATACAGCCTTGCTAAATAGTAGTATTTTCCCCTGACCCCTAATATGTACACTTAATGGTAGTGTAACTATATTATAATTTGAACATACATAATATCTGACTGCCACATGTTAGTAAACATGAATTTTAAAAGTCTTCAAGTGATGTTCAGTCTTATAATACCAATAAACACACTGCCGCCAGGAACATATTCACCTAAAAGTTAGTCTGTGTCCCATCTGACTTTAGCAGACATGGGAACGTTACCTCCAGCTGTGTGGGTACAGAGTAGAGGTCATGTGGTTCAAACATGCAACCAATGCTGTCAGCAATAAACACCAGACTGCATATGAAACTGCCTTACAGTGTTTTAAGTCTCCCTATATAGTGTCATCAAGAACACATAAAATAAGAGTCACAACTCTCTAAAAAAAAATTCAATGATTACAAATATATGATTATTAGTAGTCTATTGAGCTCTAACTGAAGTAATTTCAATGAAACAAAAACTAACTAAATCACTAACTATATAAATAACATGTGGCTTGTGTTAGTTTGTTAAACCGAACTGACCTGGAATCACTTCAGTTCCATCTTTTATAGACATTTCTGAGAAAGCAGTACTAAGGGTAATTTTTTTTTAAATTGAGATTTATGCATTATCTGAATAAATAAGCTTTCCATTGATGTATGGTTTGTTAGGATAGGACAATATTTGGCCGAGATACAACTTTTTGAAAATCTGGAATCTGAGGGTGCAAAACAATCAAAATATTGATAAAATCGCCTTTAAAGTTGTCCAAATGAAGTTCTTAGCAATGCATATTACTTATCAAAAATTAAGTTTTGACATATTTACGGTAGGAAATGTACAAAAATCTTCATGGAACATGATCTTTACTTAATATTCTAATTATCGATGAAAAATCGATAATTTTGACCCATACAATGTATTGTTGGATATTGCTACAAATATACCTGTGCGATTTATGAATGGTTTTGTGCTCCAGGGTCACATAAGACTGAATTCACACATCCATCCAGAACAGTTTGATATTTTGAGAATGGCACACTATAGTGCAATATGACAGAAATGTGCAGCTGTCTCCGTTTTAATTTGTGAAAACATGTGCCCCACCTGCACTAAATCAATGCACCGCAGCAAGGAGTGATTTAACGGCACTTCCACTTAAGCTGAATCTTTTGTGTGAACTTATGAGCTTTCCGAAAGGTATTAATGCTGTCTGTATGCCGGGGCTCCCCACCCGCAGGAAGGGTCATAAAAAAACAATCAACATGTTATTACCTCTCATAAGCTCATTATATCGTCTGACGTGCACACAACAGAGTTAGCAACACTCAGCTGAGCTTTGTTTTAAAAGTTCTTTCTGGAAACGAGCCGCCTCCACACACACACACACACACACACACACACACACACACACATAGTGCAATATGACAGAAATGTGCAGCTGTCTCCGTTTTAATTTGTGAAAACATGTGCCCCACCTGCACTAAATCAATGCACCGCAGCAAGGAGTGATTTAACGGCACTTCCACTTAAGCTGAATCTTTTGTGTGAACTTATGAGCTTTCCGAAAGGTATTAATGCTGTCTGTATGCCGGGGCTCCCCACCCGCAGGAAGGGTCATAAAAAAACAATCAACATGTTATTACCTCTCATAAGCTCATTATATCGTCTGACGTGCACACAACAGTTAGCAACACTCAGCTGAGCTTTGTTTTAAAAGTTCTTTCTGGAAACGAGCCGCCTCCACACACACACACACACACACACACGCAGCAGGGTGACCAGTGATTCAATGTCACTGTCGATTCTCAACACAGCAGGCTGTTCTTATGCAAGAGGTGTTGCGCTCCTGAGGTGCAGAGTGTGTGTTGCTACATCTGGAGGACACATGCCATCTGTTTTCATTTGAAAAAAATTTGCCTCACTTACTGTGTTTAGGGCAAAATATGCACTATTGTAAAACATCTATCTATCTATAAACTTAATTTTTGTTTAGTAATATGCATTGCTAAGGACTTCATTTGGACAACTTTAAAAGCGATTTCTCAATATTTAGATTTTTTGCACCCTCAGATTCCAGATTTTGCCATATCCTAACAAACCATACATCAACGGAAAGCTTATTTATTCAGCTTTCAGATGACGTATAAATCTCAATTTCGAAAAATTGACCCTTATGACTGGTTTTGTGGTCCAGGGTCTCTCTCTCTCTCTCACACACACACACACACACACACACACATATATTACAAACAATTAATAAACATACACAGTAAAAAATGGTTGTGATTTTAACAGTAAAAGACTGTAAAAATGCTACAGTAAAAGCCTATTAAATAGTAAGTTCCTTCATATGGTGAAAAACTGTAATTTTGTGTAAATTTATGGCAAAATACAGTTTTGGAAGTAAAAAATAATGTATAATTTACAGTGAAAAACTGTAAATTGACATTCCCAGAATTCACTGTTACATTTCGCATTTGAAGTTTTTTCTTTGAAATAACTGTTTATTACCGTCTTACCAGTTAGGGTTGTATGTTAAATCTTATGTTCCTACTGTATTTTTACAGTAAAATTCTGGCAACCACAGCTGCCCATTTTTTACCATAAAGTTTACAGATTTTTTTTTTTTTACAGTGTACATATGTACATACATATATACACACGTATGTATATATATCCACACACACACTTTTTTCCTCAGCATCGCTTTGTCTTATAACGGCGATTAGTTGAGGTTAATACGAGACAGCTGTTCCCTGATCAGCAGAGTTTGCCACATGCAGCTGGATGTCTGGTTTTGAGACAGACCCACTGAGAAGGCAGGTGTTTACTGACAACTGAGCGAGATCTCATGCTAGTTTCACCATAAGGGGCAAGAGCTGTGATGTGGTATGAAAACATGAAAAGATAATGCCACCTTTTTAAAGTTCAGATGCGAAACCAAGCTGAGAACACGTTATCTTCAGGAACGTTCCACATTTCGCATTTTTATACAACCGCAGTTGTTTATATGCTTTTCTTCGGATACTAGTTACAATGGATAGTTTGCATTGGACCATTGACACAGTTTTTTTAGCTCCTGCACAAATACAAGGATTCTAGTGTAATTTCCCGTTTTTTTTTTCTTGAGAGGCCTGCATTCTCGTGTGATCTATTGCGTTTCCCTTAAAATGTGCAACTGAGCGAAAGAGGTCAAAGGGCAGTCGGTGTACCGAGTTAGTCCCTGATTTCGATGCAAAACAAATTGAAATGGAAATAAAACTTCCATCAGGGTTTCGGTATAATATGACACCAATCTCGCAAAGAATATTTTATTATTATTTTTTAGAAACATCAGCATTTTTTCAGTACAACTGACTTTGAGAGGACTATTCACACTCTACTGAACTTCGTCTGCATTAAATCTTAAGATTTATGAAAGCTTTTGGCAACTTCTCCTTCTTTGTACTTCCATGAGCATGACCAAAACCCCTATAGCCAGTTTTATATTTGCAATTTAAATGAGACATTTAATTAAAATGCAAATCTTTAACAAGCTGTTTTATTGATTTATTCTCCATTCTTCTGCACTATATTGCCTTCTGAATTTCAAACTAGTGAAAACACATAATTCATCTCAAACTCTGATTCAAAGCTAAATTTGACATCCTATATGCTGGTGACTCCATGTAGTCTAGTCCAGGAAATCTGATATGCTGTGTGGAGCCTACAGAAGAGTTTAATGGAGTGGAAACACTTCCTTCCTCCTACAGAGAGCATTAACGCTGTCTGGAGTCTCATTTCTACAAGAAGAAGCCTGTCCTCTATTGGCAAACTTTAGCAATGGCATGTTGCACTGGATTTTTTCTTTGTTAAACCTAAAGAAAGACATGATCAAGGCACATGCATTTGAACCCACTCACCTTTTGTCCCTTGTTTGTTCAAAGAAGTCTTTTTTAGAAAACACCACAAAAAAAAAAAACACTGTTACGAGAATGCATGAAATATTCAAATGTTGCAAGTCGAGCTGTATTTGACCTCTAGAACATGACTAATAAAAGTTTCTCTAACTTTTAAATCAACTAACTTCAAAGGGTTTAAAAAACCATTAACATTAAAAATAATCAGTCACTTTATACTGCATAAAACATTATTATAAAAGCTTTTAAAGTTTTTAAATAAGAAAAAAAACCTATAAATGTAATAAATATCGTTTAAATGTAATACATATTACAATATATTATATAGTAATGCATTTTAATTAAGTTTATAATGTATATGCGTGTCTTATATTTTTATTTAAATCACATTAATCTAGGTTAATATATGCAGTAGACTGTCATTCATGTTAACAACACAAACACAAAATAAAAAGCAAAGAAAATCCTGCAAATGGTTTCCCAGCTGTCTTTTAGTTAATTGAGAACATATGAAAGAACAGAAATCATTTCGACTGAAGTGTATAATACTTCTTTTAATCCTCAGATTCTAGTATTATATAATACTAAAAACTCCATAACTTAATGTCAATAATTTATCAGTGTCTTTCCAAGGGGCTAATGTTAGATCTCAACAATAGTAGCATATTGTTAACAAATGTTTAATGATATTATGCTTGGTTAGACAGTCAAACCCTCAGAGAAAACTAAAAACAACTCGTAAGACAAATCTTTAGAACTTCTTCTCACAGTAACACAAACTCTATTGAGTCAAAAAGCTAATTTACAACAAAGCAGTGTATATGCGCCGCTTCTAAACCTAACCTCAAGCATTCCCCACCAAAACTGCGAGCAGAAATGTATTTTATGTTCATAATCAACAATGCAGCGAAGTGTTTAGTAAAATGGCACTACTATTACCTCTATATCTTGAACACAGATCCTGCTTCTCAAATATGTGAGAACCAAGCACTCAAGGGGAGTCAATATGAAGCTGACTGGAAGCTCTCCGTGGTTAAATATCCTATTACTCATCTCCAATTCAGCTCCTCCTAGGGGAAAACTGAGAAATCTTTTGCTACATTATTAAGTTCAAGAGAAACAAGGACATTTTGCGTTCATACACGAGGCCGATCTACTCCAAACAGTCCATGCTAGTTTATAGAACGAGTTATTTGGCTTACAGTGACTGAGAGAACTGCATTCAAAATACAGCACTGAATTCTCAAGGGTTAAATATAAAGGACGCTTCCCTCATAATGGCAAGGTTTTGGTAAAGTGCACAGAGAGTTGTCTGGCAAACAAAACCTTTTTTGATTTCGAAGCCTTGGTATGAAATTAGCGTGGCTTCTTCCAATCAATGCAGGCGTACAAACCACTACACAACTGATTGGCCAGCATGTTGGACAGACCTCTTGTGATAGGACAGTATACATTTGTTGGATGTATAATGAAATGCCTACTCTCACACAGTGAGCCGATATGAAGGCAAGGCAGTGGGACGGATTGGATGGGAAAAGTGGGAAAGTCCCGTCGTGAGCTGAATGGATTTGAATATTCAAATCGAAAACCCCATCCACCCCAGAGCAAGTCAAAGCTGTAGAACAAGTTATCTATGGTTACAATGGAGGAGGAGGCACTAAAGATACATCTGTTAATGAAGGAGAGGAGGAATAAGGCTAACATCTTGTATGAACCATTTACCAACCCAACACGGGAGCATATTTTGGGATCTGAAAAGTGTTTGGGATTTCAGGAAGCAGGTCCCAGATAAACCTCTCCGAGTCTCGAATGTGAAGCTAGTAGGTGAGCCTGGAGGCCTTCATGTTGTAGCAGGGCCTGTCGGTCAGACCTCCCTGACCTCCGGAGAACAGAGACAAGCTTTCGGTTTTCTCCAGCACCACCTCCAACTCCTGGAAATCCTGTAGCCGTGCCACGTCTTTATCCTGTTAAAAGAACACGCACACATTTAGACAGATGTAGTGTTGAATGATCTGGAATAGGGCTGTATATAAGCCTAAAGCATGCGATGCCAGATGTCAAGAAATCCCCCCCCCCCCCATTTCTGCCCAGCTCCATTGTAATGTTTCGCTCAATTGAAAGTGTATATCAGTCAGTCTGTTTTTTTTTTTTCATGTGTCCAAAGCTGTCAGAAAACCTTAAGTGTAAGAAATCAAGAGCATGACTCAACTATATTTCTCGAGATTGTGGTTGCTGAATAAATTCACTTTGTTTTAATAGTAAACATTAACAATTTGGAGTTATTGACATTAAAGGGATAGTTACGCTACACCTACCTCCTACATCATCCGCTGGAACGGATGGATGGATGCACGTTTTTGGACTTCAAAATCTTGACCACCATTCACTGCCATTATAAAGCTTAGAAGAGCCAGGACATTTAATATAACTCTGATTGTATTCGTCTGAAAGAAGAAAGCCATATACACCAAGGATGGCTTGAGGGTGAGTAAATCATGGGGTCATTTTCATTTTTGGGTGAACTATCCCTTTAATATGAGGTATTTCACTGATTCACTGCAAGCCTCTTGTTTTTATGTAAACCGTGTTTATTTATAAGATATAATATAATTACAATATAATGCATCAAAGCTTGATTAGGTCAAATAAACCATGGATTTACTGACATTTGCTTGATTGGTGTTTATGAATGTGCAATAATTCTGACAACCTAAAAAGAAACTTCTAAAATGACAATAATCATGATTAATAACCGTGATTATCATTTGTGCGCTACATAATCAAGATTAGCCGTTTAATCACTATCGCGCAGCCCTAATCTGAAGTACCCTCCATTCCTCTGTTGTTTTTGAGGCTGCAAATGACAGGTAAAGCGACTAGATATAGCAGCAGAGACATTCCCATGATGCAGTAGGGCTGTTCAGCTCAGTGCGCTGTAGAAGAGTTTTTGCCTGAGGCTTTTGTACCCATCATTATTGGTTTAAAAACACTAAAAACTCAACTCCACTAGTGTCTGCAGATATTAAAAATGGCCAAAAGTACCATCAGATTTCAGCCGTTAGAATCAAGTTTGTCGCTCTTTTTGCATTCTACTCTATGTAAAAAGCACAGCTCAGATTTACCAGCTCAACAAACCTTGTCTGTAGATGCAGACATGCTTAAACAGGAGAGGATCTTGCTCAACCAAACAGAATGTCACTTTTACGTAGCATCAAGATGACTAAGAGGGCCAAACTAAACCATGAGGAACAGATCCAAATCCCCATTCCTCCACCGACAACTAGAAATATGCATTTGTGCAGGAAGTGTTGTCTTTGTATTCATTCAAGTGCAAGATCAAACAACAATGCTGCCACCAGGATGACAGTGCAAAGCTCTCTGTTGTCATGCCCAACAACACTCTTTACTTATAATAATAGCACAGTTTCAAATGATTTAGTGCTTTTAGATGGATACAACAGAATACAAATATTAGGGGAACACAAATTTATATTTAAACTAGTGCTGTCAAACGATTAATCGCATTCATAATAAACATTTTTATTTACATGATATATATATATATATATATATATATATGTGTACTGTTTATTTATTATGCATATATACACACACATTCATTATATATTTTGAAAATATTTAATATACATTTATATTATTATATTATATATAAATATGTTTAATATATAAACAACAAATTTTTCTTAAATATATACAACATTTGTTTGTATTTATATATACATAATAAATATACACAGTACACACTCATATATTATGTAAAAACTTTTATTTTGGATGCGATTAATCGTTTGACAGCACTAATTTAAACATGTTTTTAATCAAATTAATTCAAGGGATAGTTCACATAAAAAGTTTAAAATTCTGTCATCATTTACTCACCCCAAAGTGGTTTCAAACCTGTATGAGTCTCTTTCTTCTGTTGAACACAAAAGAAGATATTTTGAAGAATGTTAGTAACCAAACAGTTCACAGTAGCCTTTGAATTCCATAGTATGGAAAAAAATACTATGGAAGTCGATGGCTACCATCAACTTAAAAAAAACAAAAAAAAAAACAACATTCCTCAAAAAATATCTTCTTTTGTGTTCAACAGAAGAAAGAAACAAACAGGTTTGGAACAACTTGAGGTTGAGTAGATGACGACAACTCAATTTTTAGGTGAACTATCCCTTTAAGTTTCCACCTTACGCTTTAATATATTATTTTTGACATGTAAATTAAAGGGGTCATTTGATGCTGCTAAAATTTGGTGTAATGAAATGTGTTTATGCGGTTTAAGGTTCAAAAAACACATTATTTTCCACATACTGTACATTATTGTTTCTCCTCTATGCCCCGCCTTTCTGAAACGTGTCGATTTTTACAAAGCTCATTGGTCTGAAAAGTGAGGTGTATGCTGATTGCCCAGCAATCCAGTGCGTTGTGATTGGCCGAAAACCTCAAGCGTGTGACGGAAATGTTACGCCTCTTACCATACTGTGATGATGCCCTGTCAGGCCGGAGCGACGAGACAAAAACATTAAAACCCATTATAAACGAGGTATTTGTTGCATCCAGTGGGGACATAATTACGGATTATAATGACTTATACTGTCTTTTTAAGCATTGCGTTGCATCGCGCCGTGTAAACATTAAACCATGTCTGCATTTGTGATCGGAGAAATGACAAACAACAAGTGCTATTCTACACTGCTCAAAACTCACGTTTGAATCATCAGGCGTGGCAAATTCTTTAAATATAAAAAAAACCTTACTTACAGCCTAGAGTGAGTGGAGGCCGGCTTGAGTGAGCAGAGGCGGGCGGGCTAGAAAACGGTGCGGCTGGCGGGCTTGCAGCAACCACATGTGATGACCCCGGTCTGGACTCCGCTTCGTCCACGGTGAAAGCCGATCCGGCGATCGACAGCCTGAAGTTGATGTATTTTCTCAGCAACCAGCACGGATCAGCTTTAGGCATGACGAAACGGATATCGTCCTCTTTTAGAAGACCAAACAAAGTAGTTTCGCTTTCACAACGAAACACACAGCGCCTTCACGACATGGCGGCAGCGGCAACAACAATACTACAGCGAGAATAAAAATTACGCCTTCTTTCTTTGCGTGAACATTTGGGCGGCATTATGCAAATCTTTCCACATCGTGACGTAGATATGTGGGGGCGTGTTTAAATGAGCCACTTTAGGTAGGTGTGGCTGACTCTTAACTTTTATAAAGAATATCTCTTTGGATTTGAGACTTTAGTCTTCGCAACTTTACAGATCTTCTTTATGCACCAAGAGCTTGTAACACTCCAAAGAGAAAGGAAAAATTGAAATCGCATCATATGACCCCTTTAAGGTTTAGATTTGGGGAAAAAAAATTATTGTATTTTTTCCAATTAAACACCAAAAACTCTCAATGAAAACAAAATCATTGTAATTGAAAATAATTAATTAAATTATAATAAAAAATTGATTAAAATGAAATAATTAAAATAAGTTATAATGAATTAACAACAGACTATTCTACCCATTTTTTATGTGTCTGACATCAACATGCTAATGCTCAACTGGTTGAATGCTCAATTGTAAGTGGAGCTGCTATTTGTGTACTGCTAATGTAGAGTGTCCAAATTGCTCTCTTGTTAGGATACTGCCTTAGGAGGCAGCTGTCTATGTAGGCTGTGAGGCAGCTCACTGGGTGTCTTGACTTAGCTGTTAATAGTCTCAGGCCTCACCTTTCTGAGCATAGTGTTGGGCAGCTTGCGGATCTTCTCCACGTGCTCTGCGCTGATGTCCAGCTCGCGGCAGCACACGCGGAGGAGTGCGCGGTACGTCAGCTCCTGCCGGTCCAGCTCCACCTCGATGAAGTCGTTCTCTCTGACGTTGGTGTTCTGGATGCGCACCTTCAGGACAAGCTCTGAGAAGAGACGGCAAGTCTGAGATTGTGACATGAGGAATCTCTCTGAATTCCTCAAACCGGTCTGTTTGAGTGCATGCACATTTAAATAAAGAGTTAAAAAAAACGTGTTAGTGGAGATCTACCATTGCCTTCAAGACGTGTTGGAAAGATCGAATTTACGAGATATGAATATGAATGTAAAGCACCTTAAATGTAAACGTGCAGCTGCGATTTTTAGTAAAATACACTACCGTTTGAGGTCACTTTGATTTTTTTTTTTAAAGAAATTTATATTTTTATTCAGAGAGGATGCATGAACTTGATCCAAAGTGACAGTAAAGACATTTATTATGTTATAAAAGATTTCTAATACAAATAAATGCTGTTCTTTTAACTTTCTATGCATCAATGATCCCTGGAAAAATGTCACCGTTTCCACAAAAATATTAAGCAGGAGAACCATTTTAAATATTTAGAATAATAAAAAATGTTTCTTGAGCAGCAAATCAGCATGTTAGAAAGATTTCTGAAGGATCATGTGACACTGAAGACTGAAGCAATGATGCTGAAAATTCAGCTGCGCATCACAGGAATAAATTATATTTTAAAATATTAAAATAGAAAATTTATTTTAATTGTAATAATTCTGACCAAATAAAAGTTGAAAGATTAAAAATCTTACTGATTTGCTGATGACATATGCACGTGTGTATGTATATATTTTTTTCTTCATTTATTTTACTACACACACATACGTACGTACATACATATATATGTATGGGGGGTTGGGGGGAATGGAGGTTAGGGGGTGTGCCCGAAGTGTGAATCCGTATGCAGAAAGGCACGGAAAACAGATAATGCATTCTATGGAGCCACTAATGGGACATGGTTAGCGCTTGCTAGCGGTAGACTGTTACATTATAGTACATGAAAATTCACTTACCACATACACAGAGCAAGGAGAGATGACTGATAGGACAATGGCGAATGATTTGCAGATACTGAGTACCACTGACAAATATCTAATCTTGTAAAATGTGTGCCTACCATTGAACTCCGTAGTATAGAGTCCGTGTGATCTCGAAAGTGAAAGTAAAATGAGAGCGCGCAATCGAAAGCGGTTTCAATGCCCTGCATATTAGTAACGGCTCCCTTATGGCCGCAATTTATATGCAGTATAATTACCCAATGATATAATTGCGAGAGAAAGTACTGAAATTTTTTTTTTATCCTCCCATCTCGTAGGCTATTTATTCCTTTTAGGGGTTCTGTAGTACACTTAATTTCCTTTCCGAACACGGAATTGGGATGCGGCGGATTGCGGGGAGTGGGGTGGGAGATCACGATGCCGGCTCAACATCGTGATGTCTGTCAGCCATCGGCGATGGACGATGGCATCGTCTATCGGCCCAACCCTACTAGCAACCTCATAAAATCGTCAGCGATTTCTCATGTGGAGCTCAAAGCAGAGGTGCATCGAATCATATGAAAGGAAGAGCCTTTAGATACTCTTCAGTTCACTGACCAACAAGTTTCCTAACAAATCCTCACTGTACCTTGTACGTTAACAGGAAAAGTGCTGGTGAAAAAGAAGGGCTGGAAGGCCGGCATGGATCCACCGAGCTGGGAGCAGTTGATCTGCTGCGGGATGGACTGCTGCCGGGTGACGCTGGCGCTTGAGACCTGCGGCTGGCCGCTGCTTCCGCTGGGAGAAGGAAGCGTGGGACACACTGGGCCGTTCTGTGCTATAGGATGAGGGTGTGTAAACTCGCAATGGTTGGTGTGATGAGTCTCTGACGAGAGCTCCATGGGCAGGCCGCCGTTCACCACGCCATTCTGCTCCAGCATGGGGATGTAGGATAACTCCTGCTGGCTCTGGCTGTCTGAGTAAAGGCTCTTGGGCTGCTGATGCTGAGGCGGAAGCTGCTGCTCTTGTGTCGGCGATAAAGTCGCTGGCTCTGACTCCAGGGGCTCTGGATGATTGTTGGTGCCGTTCTGCTGTGCTATGCTCAGGCTGTCGTTATCCATCTTGCTGTACAGGAAGGGCGGGTTGGAAAGATAGTTCGGAATGATTGGCAACTCTGGTTCCTTCACCTCAGGCACGTCTTCCTCTTCCACTGGAGACGAAACGACAAGCATGAATGTGACAATGTTAGGACATTAAAGCGCTTAATGAACATATATAGAAGGTTTTCGGTTTTCGTTTTTGCATTTTAGTGTATTGCAGTGTACAAAAATTATTATATGTGACCATGGAGCACAAAACCAGTCATGAGGGTCAATTTTTTGAAAATGAGATTTATACATCATCTGAATAAATAAGCTTTCCATTGATGTATGGTTTGTTAGGATAGGACAATATTTGGCTGAGATACAACTATTTGAAAATCTGGAATCTGAGGGTGCAAAAAAAAAAGAGGAGAAAATCGCATTTAAAGTTGTCCAAATGAAGTTCTTAGCAATGCATATTACCGATCAAAATCTAGGTTTTGATATATTTATGGCAGGAAATGTACAAAATATCTTCATGATCTTAACTTAATATCCTAATGATTTTAGGCATAAAAGAAAAATCGATAATTTTGACCCATACAATGTTTTTTTGGCTATTGCTACAAATATACCCCAGCGACTTAAGACTGGTTTTGTGCTCCAGGGTCACATATGTTATAATAAATTGATAATTCAATTATAAATTATACCATTATGGCCAATGATGGATTGATGGCCAGTATTAAATTCTATATTATTTTGTCTAAATATCTGAACAAATAAAACACTACAAACTAAATTCAGTAGTAATTTCATACAATATGAAAATGGATATTCATTTTAAGATTTGCTAAACATTACATTTAACACTATTATTAAATTTGTAGTGTTTGTAAAGATTAACTTTAAGCTAAAGCTTTAAAAAATTTGATCAAGATGTTAAAACGGTGGAAGATGGAAGGTTTTAAATATGTATTTTAGTGTTTTCAAGAATTAATCAATGCAAATATGAAATATGATGCAAAATATGAAAAGTGATAATGTTATGGCTGATAAATTCTGTAATATTTTTTTCTAAAAAAAAAAAATACCACTTCTCAACTTTGGCCCTCGAGCTCCAACCCTAATGAATCCCACCTGAACAAGATAATCAAGGTCTTCAGGATTACTAGAAATTTACAGGCTGGGGAGTAATGTAAAACAATCAGGTGCAAGAAGGTAGCGAGTTGATTAGCAATTACAAACTGCCTAACACACAAAATCCCGCCCCAAACTCACACTACTGGTTCGTCCGATGTTGCCTCTGCATATTAAAATGAAACAATTTTTAAACTATTAAGAGAGAAAGAAAGAACGATTTCTTTATTGAGGAGCAGCTGATGCAGGACTGAAGGTATAGTTCACACCAAAATGAAATTTGTAGATGAGTTTGTTTCTTCATCAGAATAGATTTGGAGAAGTTCAGCCTTTCATCACTTGCTCACCAGTGGATCCTCTGCAGTGAATGGGTGCCGTCAGACTGAGAGTCCAAACAACAGATAAAAACATCACAATAATCCACAAGTAACTGACACGACTCTAGTGAGGTGAAAAGCCGCATGCTCGTAATAAACAAATCCATCATTTAAGATGTTTTTCATTTCAAACCATTGCGTCCAGCAAAAATACAAATCCTCCATCCATAATATTGCTTTTTCCAGTGAAAAAGCCATCTTGTCTGAATCAGGCGAGAAATATATACAGATCAAAAAAGCAGTTCTAAAAAATATGTTGGTGCTTTGATGTGAGAGGACAACAGGGAGGACATGTTATTATGGACTCGCATCTTCATGTAAATTATCGTGATGTTTTTATCAGCTGTTTGGACTCTCATTCTGACGGCACCCATTCACTCCATTGGTGAGCAAGTGACGTAATGCTACATTTCTCCAAATCTGTTCCGATGAAGAAACAAACTCCTCTACATCTTAAATGGCCTGGGAGTAAGTAGCCACATTTCAGCAGATTTTAATTTTTGTGTGAACTATTCCTTTAAAAAGGGGGGAAACTGCGCCCCCCGGTCACATATCTGGCCATGTCTTCACTGTCAAGTATAAATTATGCCCAGCAGCTCTGTCATCTACAGAATAAAGGCGAATTGCTGTTTAAGAAAAGGTTAATATAACTGTATACGCTTAGAAAATCAAACAGAGTAATTTCGCCTGTTGGGTGAGTGTTAATACGCACCATCCGTTAATCTCATTCTGAGAGTTGATGTTGACTCCGCTCTCCACTAAAGTCTTCACCTCCTCGATGTCTCCGATGGCACTGGCCTCTCTCAGACGCTCCTGTAGCTCTTTATCCAGCGATGTCGTTGACATTATTCAAGTCTTTATGGAAATAAAAGCTTCATACGAACTGAACACACACTGTGCTTTTAAGACCAGAGATAAACATACACTCAACTTGCTCCGCCGTGGCTTAAACTGGTGTCTGTTCTGGATGATTTTCGACAGGGAAGTTGAAAGGAGTCTATTTACAGTCTTTAGATTGAAATCGGATCAAAACGGCACAGTATAATACATCGGGTTGTGTTCAAATAATCATTCGCCGACTACCGCAATCCACTCGTATCCGCTGCACCTCCCATGTTGGGGGCAACTTTCTGTGCAACACCTTCAGATCATCATCTTTGGTTCCTACTTACGATCGCCAGTAAGCAGGTTAAAGGGGTCATATGATGCGATTTCAAGTTTT